ACCTTTATATAGAAGTTGAAAAGTTGTGTTTTTAACATACACAACCCATTTGGACATTTAGTTTAACTGTCAACCGCCAGATTCTAAAAGAAATCACGTATCGCAAATTAAAAAAAAAAAAATTTAGGATAAAAAAAATTGTACTCTAAAAACTAACTTCTGTTATTCAATTTTTTTTTAATAATAAAATACTACAAATGCGTAACCTTTATACCTCATTGGTATATAAAGAATTAATTATTAATACATGAATTTAAAAATCTATTAAAATTTCTAGATACATAAATAGAAATAAGCTCATATATAATAATTCTAGAATATAGATTCATGTAAATTAGGATTTATCAAGTCAAGTTTCATTGAGTCTAGATTAATGTGAATGTTACTCCCCTGTCCCATTTATATAGATTGATTTTTTTTTTATTTTCTTGTCTCAATTACATAATCATATTTCTTTATTACGAATATTTTGTTTTGTTTGTTTATTAATGTACCTTTATTTTATAACAAATTTTCTTCTAGTTGTTGATAATTAAATAAGAGTAAATTAGAAAAAAAAATGGCAACAATTTATTTTTCAATAACATTAAATAATATTTTCCATTCGTGTGAAAAAATAAAACCAACCTATATAAATGGAACAAATAGAGTAATTATTTGAGAATTAATAACACAAAATTCATACAGAACAAATATTTTGTAGTATTAATTAAATATTGAAAAACGAAAAGTAAATAATTATTGAAATAATTGAATTGTAATATGTTTAAAATCATTCAAAAAATTATTTTCAAATGGGTGGTTATATTGCCCCCATAATTTTTAATTGATACCCTACATTTTAATTATAGTTAAGCTCTTTAATCTTAGCTAGGGATGATCAAAAAATTCGACAAACCCGAAATTCGCGGGCTCTACCCTGAAAGGGGTGAGGCGTGGACATGGTGGGTAACTTTGTCCTAGGGCAGGTTCGAGTAACGGGAGCACCGCCCCGTTTATTTCAATATTTTAAATGAAAAATTTCACGAAATTTCATTAATTCTAATAGAAAATGACAACTAAAATTATTTTAAAAATATGTCAAACAATAAAAGCTTTAGTTTACCAAATATTTTTTAATAATTTAACTTTTAAAAATAAGTAAAGATTAAAAAATATATTATTATCTCAGTCTAATGAATGTGGACAATAAAATGAATTACCAAAAACTTAAAAATAAATTAATTAATTAAACGGGGCAATGTCCCTGCCACGCCTCGTTGCTATCCCTAATCTTAGCTCATTGTAACAATTATTTCTTTAACTTTTTTCTGTCGAATTTGTATATTCAACCTTCCATTAATTAATATGTCCCATTCTTGATGATGATTTATATACAAATATTTTATTTTCGTACTTTGAAATGAGGGAATAATATTTAATCTTACTTTATTTATTTATTTTTTTAAAAATACGATGGAAAATAAATTATTTTATATCATTTCAATGGACTTTTGAATATAAAATTATTATAAAATACAAAATGTGTTAAATATAAAAATAATATGAAAAGTCGTCGGTGACACTTATGATGAGCAAAAATTAAAATATGGTGTAAAAAATAAAAATTGTTACTCGTATTACTTAGAATACTGAAAAAATGTTCCAAGTGGACAAAAGTTCCCTTTTCTGCTTTATACATTGGGTAAAAGTGACATTTAATTTTCTCGTCTTTTTTCTTCATCTAATATAGACAAAAGGCAAAATTTAGCTTTCGGGCACAAATGTTTCTGTTTTTCTCCTTCTTAATGTTCACTTAGCTTAACATGATCCAAAGCTATGTTTGAGTCCATTTATTGATCGTAATACATTACAACCCAATTGACGCATTCTTCATCGGATCAGGTCAGGAAGCTTAAGGTAATGTAATAAACTCTCTTCGTCAATGATTTTGTTATCTCTTATGATTCATGGGATTATTTTCAATTCCAATTGATTGTAAATGAGTGTTTATTTAACGTCACAATTTTAGAATTTAT